TATTTATAAAATTGCTGTAGTCCATGCTTCAATAATACGAACAGCCCTGAAGATCAGGTCAAGATAGATCCTCTTGGAGTAATCCATTAGGTGCCCTTCGGATATTTTCAATTCTTATAAACCTCAGTCTGTATGATCAATAGACAGAAATTAAAGGGACTGTTGCTCAAAATATGTGTAGGATACCAACTTGCCCAATCCCTTTTAAACCAGAATCTCTCTTCTCACAAGGCTTAACCAGATGCTTCTAAAAATCCCACTGGTCTCCTGAATATCTCATATCTTCCAACATGTTCATGTATCAGACTTTGGGAGTGATCTTGATGGTTCCTTGATTGGGATGTTGTTTACTGTTAGCTTGTTTGTCTGAGATGGTGTTTCCTTGATTAGGATATTGTTTACTTCTTGATTGTTAATTTAGTGTTAATCTTAATCTATGTTAATCTGTGCTCATCTAGGTCAGTGGTGGTGAACCTATGGCATGTGTGCCAGAGGTGGCATGCAGAGCCCTCTCTGTGGGCCCGTGCACCGTCGCCCCAGCCCCGCCTCCCCCCATGGCCCCCTCACCAGCAGCCCCCTGGAGGAGAGTTGCCCCCGGGCGCGGCCCGTACAGAGCAGTGCAGCCAAAGACATGGCAGCTGGGCAGAGGGGCAAGACTCGCCCTCGTGCCCCGTTGTGTGCAGATTATGCTGCGGAGTGCGGGCGCAGGGCGTTGCTGCCATGGCGCTGCAGGGCTGCCTGGGCAATCTGCTGCGGCAGGCCGTGAAGGCGGTAGGTGGCCCTGTAGGCGGACGGCGGCGCGGGCAGGGCAGGGGCAGAGCGGGGGCAGGCAAGGCGGGTTTTGGGCACTCGGTGTCTAAAAGGTTCGCCATCACTGATCTAAGTGTTCATTGCTGTTCTGGTCCTTTTGTTTCCTTTTTGGCTTTTTGATTGTCTCTTTTGAATGGCATATAGATATTGTTTACCTCTATGAGCCTGTTGATGGTGAGTTTCAGGCTTCCAGGAATTCTCTAAGATTTTTTGGACTTGGCTTGGTCTACAATGCTTACAGTTTCCTAGTTGAAACTATGGTTAGGCCTGTCCAGAGAAGGAGAAATTTAACTCCTTCACAGCCATAGTTCGGGGGGGGGGGCAAAGACTATAAAAACTATAAGATAATTTTGGCAGAAGAAATTATTCAGGGGATGCCTGAGGATTTTACTTCTAACAAAATAGAGACTAGCATTCTCAAGTCAATTACATTCTATTTCTCCCCAAACAAAAACAGTCCAAATAAAACTGACACTACAGTGTTGAATTTGGTACAAAATTTGAAACTGTGATAGCTTTGATTTTTAAATGTTACCATTATGGAAATTTATTTCAAAAAGTACACACTTTTTAAATAAAAGAAGCAATATAATCTGCATTAGGAATATTTACAGACAATGCAATGTATGTCAGTTGTTACCAATACACAATGAAACCACAAAACTAATTTAGAAGATGTCCACACACTACATACATATCTAGCCCACTATTCCCTTTGGGAGAAAGCAACATTATGCACATAAAAAAGGAGTAAAACATACTGAGACAAAGAAATTAGGCATGAGAGAAGAAAAAGAAAAGGAAACATGAAAAAACTAGTTTAAATCAATACTATTCTACTGTACACTGCATCACACATTTCTATCTTTGCAAACCATCCTACTTCTCACCAAGCCCATGTATCTTGTCATATATTGTTCTTCACATTTTTTCAGTATCACATTAATTTCATCAATTATTTTCTCTATCTTCCCTCTCCTCTAAATCCATTCATTTTTCTTTCATATATTTGTTTTGTAATTTGATCCTCATACATTCTCTCTTTATCACAACGTATTTCTTTCACTGGTCATTCTCTTTCATATTCAATCCACTTTTATTCTTGGCTCAGAGTTTCTTTTGTTTAATAAAGAAAAAAACTTGCTTTTTATTACATAATCTCCTTATGTACTACATTAAACTTACTTATTTTATATGTGCATTTTCTGCAGACAAATAGCAGTGAAATGTTCTACAGGGTTTTTTTTAAATCTGCCAAGCTGGAATTCTGCCTAATAATGTAGACACTAAGGTAAACTGGATTTTTTAAAAAAAAATCATGCATGTTTACTCAAAAATTGACATTTGCACTTTAAGAGAAACTCCTGCTTGTTCCTGCAGCAGCTTCCTTTAAAGTTCACATTATAACTTTCAAGAAGTGCATTTATCAGGAGAAAAAAGAAGGCTTCTTATTGTGTTTTCTCTATTGAAGATTTTAATCTAAAGCTGTGACTGTTCTCTCTGTTTGTGCATTTTGTTTCTGCTGTGAGTTACAGATTTAATGCTCTAGATACTCACTGATTTCATGCTCTAATAGATAGTACATATATATATTAGAGCATTAAATCAATGAGAATCTAAACCAACCCAGGTTTTACTAATAATATTTTAAAAGAAAAGAGTCTCTGAAAATAACAATATTGACTTTGGTCCTGTCACCATGTACCTGTGGTTGCTATGGAGAATCTCTGTTAAAACATATGTCTGAGGACATATACCATTCATGCTTTAAATGATAGATCTAGCTAAGCAACCTTAAAAATAGCAGCTGCCTGTTTTTTCAGCAGTAATATCAAAGAAGAGAACAGTGATCAGAAAACACATGAAGTCACAAAAAGCTTTAGCAGATCATTTTTCCACTCCCACTTCCATAGCGTAAAAATAGTATGCCAAAATATTTGAAGGATGAAACTAGATCTATATTATTTCCTGTCATCAATATTTGCAGCATATAAATCCTCTGAGAAAACCATAGTTTTGATTTTAGTTTATTGCGAGCTTTTCATCTCCACTAGAGCCCATAGTTTCTCCTAAGGCCAGCCTCAGTTGAGAAGACAACATATCTACTGTTAAATTTAGAGGATCTAGAATTAATCGAAGTGATTAAGGTGGACCTAAGTTTAACTGAACCATACCATTTACATGCAGGAAGTCAGGAAATAAATAGGTTCTAAAGCAGATAAACAAAAGAAAACAAACAGTCCATTAAAGTTCTTTTGGCTGCAAATATTCATTATCTTTGGGCACAGTTTGTTGCTATAAAGTCTGCAAGGTTCCAAAATAAGTTCCAAGTCACAACATTTGAGCAAGCAATTAATTTGGCAATTTCTAAGGTCTGAGAAAAAAAACACTTCTCAAAGTACAATTTTTTCCCCATGCCATGACTTCACTAAGATCATTCATAGTACAATCAGACCAAAATGCCACCTCCATTCATACATGGATGATCATGCAACAATAAATTCCACCACAGAAATCCCACTTAAATTAATGCAAGCAGCAGAAAAGTTAATTAAACACAAAACTTTTGATAAATGATGTAAGCTGGCATCATCTGTCATCCCAAAGCCTTCCAAAATACTAGGTTTTAAATAGACGGACCCTTTACATATATGGCAGAAAATCAAGGTAAAACAATTTGTTAAATGTCCAAAAAAAGCCTTCTACTAACAAAACAGTGGCATATTTTTTGAGCAAGTTGAGAAGTTCCAGAGCAGGCTTTGATCTAAAAGCTTATGCCTGTTTTGAAAAGGGCATTTTTGTTTCTCTCTGTCAAGCAAAAACAAAATTGCAGAGAAGGATGCATTGTAATTTTCTCCTCACTTTATTTTTAGCTAACCTAAACTATGGTATGTGAGTTATCCACACAGAGTCCAGAGTCTACTTTTGGCACAACATCAAATCTCAGCCCCTGAGCAAATTGATCAAGGAGGGGAAGCTGTAACAAGCAACAAGCAAAAATTTACCCAACCTATCTCAAGAAATGTGTATTCAATATGACAGAAAATCTGCACTGTCTTGCTCTTAATTTGGAGCAACGTGTCCAACATATTTTAACTTTAGATACAAATATTACCTATTCCATGCAGATAAACAATCCTCTCCAAAATGAAACACCCCAATTACTCAATTTCAGATCACCAGTGGCTACAGCACCTTCCTGTTCCCTTCTTTAAAAAAACAAATTAGCCATAAATTATCCACTGGGGAGAGATTCTCCAAGTACATTACAAATTCTTTTCTGCAAAGTGTCATGGTTCTGACAGATGAAACTCTTTAAGAGAACTTTGAGGCATTGTTTACCTTAAAGAATCTTTTATTCAAGAAACAAAGTATCGGCACTACATTGTTAAAGCCAAAACCTGAATTCCCCTCCCCTGGACACAAAGTAGCAAAGCACAATTCCCTCCTCCAATTAACAGTCATAAATCACATTCCCCAATTAGCTTGAAGCTCTTCAAATCTTTATCAGCTCTGGGCGCAATAACCTTGATTCCCACGGCTGAGTTATTATTGTTATGACTAGCTGGACTCTCATCCACATCCCTCCTCCCAACATCAACTAACTCTAAAAGTGAAAGGGAAAAGATGGCTACATTTCCATCTGTTGTCGAAGCAAGAACATCCGATGTTAGCAGCGTTGACCCAAAGCTGATCTACAGGAATAGTTTTTAATAAAACCTTAAAAGGAGAATAAAACTGTAGAGTTTTACATTTTAAGAAAGCTAGACATAAATGTAAATCTTACACGTAGACCATGCTTGTTAACCTCCCTAAAAACTTGACAGCTCAGAACCAATGAAGAAGGATTACAAACCTCGTGCATCGAAGAATTCTTCATCAGAGCTTTCCACAGAGTCGATGCCTTCCATGGGCCACTGAGAGCCAAACTTGTGCAATCCAACTGAAAAAGGGGAGAAATGCAGTATTAGCAAACAGAGGATTCCAAGATGGGAGTCCAGTCAAACATTCTGTGTATTTAAAACCTTCCATCTTTCAGTCAGCAGCTTTAAAATACACATTATTAAGTATGTGTGAGTCTACTGAAGTTGGGTGGCTAATAAATTCAAATACATACATAAATTTTTAAAAGCTGCTGTTGTCAAACAAGAAAAAAAGTCAAGGAAACAGTTGGTCCACTAAAGAGAGAAGATAGCAAGGAAGTAACAGGCAGCAGAGAGAAAGCAGAGCTACTTAACTCATTCTTTGCATAGGTCTTCATGCAAAAATAAATTATAACCGAACCCACCAAAACCGTAACTGAAAAAGATAGACTAGAAATAAAAGCTAAAATAAACAAAAAAATGGTAAGAGAACAGCTGTCTGATCTTGATGAAGATAAATCACTGGGACCTGACGGACTACACCCCAGAGTTCTGAAGGAGCTGGCAGATGTCATCTCAGAACCACTGTACCATATCTTTCAAAAATTCTGGAGCACAGGGGAACTACCAGAGGACTGGAAAAGAGCTGATGTGGTTCCCATCTTCACCAAAGGAATAATAATAATAATAATAATAATAATAATAATAATAATAATAATAATAATAATAATAATAACAACAACAACAACAACAACAACATTTGAACACCATTGGCATTGACAAATTGGCCATTAGTCAATTGCAAAAGGCGGCCTTACTAGGAACTGCTTTCATCCTGCGACGATATCTGTAATACCATTAAACATCCACCTCTGCCTATCCCAGGTCCTTGGTAAGGACTCGATAGGTAGACAAAAAGCCAAATCCAGTCTGAACATCTGGCTGACTGTGCGATGATCCATAATAATAATAATAATAATAATAATAATAATAATAATAATAATAATAATAATAATAATAATAATAATAATAATAATAATAATAATAGTTGGAAGGGACCTTGGAGGTCATCTAGTCCAACCCCCTGCTCAGGCAGAAAACCCTATACCATTTCAGACAAATGGCTGTCCAGTCTCTTCTTAAAAACTTGCAGTGTTGGAGCATTCACCGCTTCTGGAGGCTGGTTGTCCCACTGGTTAATTGTTCTAACTGTCAGGAAGTTTCTCCTTAGTTCTAGGTTGCTTCTCTCCTTGATTAGTTTCCATCCATTGCTTTTTTGTTTGGGAACTTCTCATTGCTATTGTGCCTCTGCAATCAGAAATCTGATGACACTGGAGATAAAGGACATTAAACATCAAGAGGAATTTGGAGGGGACAAATTAAGAGGAACGCTGAATGACCCACCCTGGAACAGGGGGGAAAGTGGAGCTGACCTATTGTATTACCCTAAAACTTGGGAACTACAGAAAAGAAAAGCTGTTCATTTTCCTTTGCTGGCAGAAGCCTTAGGATTTGACTCTATCAGATTGTATTTAATTCAGGTGATAGCACTTAAATTGAGGGCAAGTTCAATAAGCTTTAACTTCAGCCTTGGGAAAACATCATACTGGTTGACACACCTCCATTCCTGAGATAAGGGACTGCCCAGATCACTTGCAGATTTAGGATGCCATGCTACATTACAGATTTGCTTCTCAGACACATAGCATTCTGAAGAACCCTCAAACACTGACATATTGTTCATTTTATGTCCTATTTTTCAATCAGTTTTGTGTGCCAAAATAACTCAAGACATAAAAAAAGATACTGAGATGGACCTGCCCTGAGGCTTAATGTCAAAAAAGACAAGGCACATGGGAGATGAGAAATGGTAGGAAAAGAAGAAGAGTCAGATTGATTGTTCAAGGCCAAAATGAAATAGTAAGCAGCAAGGTGGCATTTATACATAGTTCAGTCTGGGCTGGTTTTAACTTCCTGAAGCTCTTGCTTAAATAGAAAATTGTGGCAGCTGTTCCTTTGGATGATAGATGGGGCCAGATTTGGTGTGGCAGATGGATGGAGGTGCAGTGTGGCTCTCCAGTCCCAGGGCAACCGGAAGCAATGAAGTGCAAAACAGATTCTTTGCATCTGCCTTTTTCTTACCACTGTAAACATGAACACAACAACACATATGTATACCTACCCTTTGTGCCCTGACCAGTGTACATTTGAGAATTCATGGCAGCACGACAGAACACGATGTTGCCTTGCTTCTAGGCAAGATTTGTTTGACTTGTACATATTTTAATCTTATATTTTATGTCAGTGGTGGCGAACCTATGGCACGGGTGCCAGAGGTGGCACTCGGAGCCCTCTCTGTGGCACTCGGAGCCCTCTCTGTGGCACTCGGAGCCCTCTCTGTGCCGTTGCCCCAGCCTTGCCTCTCCCTGCGACCCCCTCTCCAGCAGCCCCCCTGAAGGAGAGTCACCCTCGAGCGTGGCCCACACGGAGCAGCGCAGCCAAGGACTTGGCAGCTAGGCAGCGTAGACAAGACTCTGCCCTCATACCCCATCATGCAGTTGATGCTGCAGGGCGCGGGCAAAGGGTGTGGCCGCCATAGTGCTGCTGGGCTGCCTGGGCGATCTGCGGCGGGCCCTGGAGGCAGTGAGTGGTTCTGTGGGCAGGTGGGGCGAGGGATGGGGAGGCAGAGCGGGGGCAGGGCAGGGGGGTGGAGCAGGGGAGGGGCCAGTTTTTGGGCACTCGGTCTCTAAAAGGTTCGCCATCACTGTTTTATGTTGTATAGTATGCCTTATTTTAACTGTGATGCTCCTGATGCAAATAAACAAAAAAACACTGTAAACAGGCCATTATATATTTTCGGGAAAACCTGGATGCAATCTCCCAAGAGCTCTTGATCCGTTGATGGATGAATGAAGATGAAGTGTGTGCTAGCCTTTCTCTTTCCCATTCCAAGAAATATACCTTTCTCAATGAAATTCATCATCAGAACATCAGAGACACTGACAAAATGGTACTGTAATACTTCAAGTAGACAGATATGAAATGGCAATAAGGAATGGACCTATGACATATTCTAAAGTCTCTCAGCCCAAATGCTTGGGCAATGTTATGCTGACACAAGAGGCCCAATGAGGAAGTTTGTGGACAAATGTATTTTTTCCTTTTTGTTTAGGTTAAGATTTTTTTCCCTTTTTCCCCGAAATTGCATCAATTTGTAAAGAAGTGCTATTTCCTCTTAATGTTGCCTCAAACAGATAGATCAGGGTGACCTAACCTACCTGTGCCAACAGCCTGTGAATAAGCACAGGAGAAGAAAGGGATCTTCTCTTACTGCTGCTTCTCTTTTGAGCTAAACTGCGTTCTTAGATCACTCTGCACTGGTGCCTAATTTATCTCTATTTTCTCAACACTTCACTTTTTCCTTTTGTTAAGGTGACCAACCGTCCTCCTTTAGGGAGGACAGTCCTCCTTTTGTGAGTTCTGTCCTCCCTGGAAAAGTGTCCTCCTACATGTCCTCCTTTTCGATATTTGAAGACTAATCTGCAGGGCTTTTTTTTCTCATAGAATGCTCAGAACGGCGTTCCGGCACCTTTTTTTGATGGTTTTTTTTTCAACTTTTGCATGAGCTGTGCTACTCCCCCTATTGGCTTTCGAAAGCCAATAGGAATTGCTGCTGAGCGCGCCAAAACAGCCCGCCGGCAAACTTTGCACATGTAAGTTGTCTGCAGCGAAGGCGAATTGGCAAGAACTTTGCACCCCTCCCTGCTACCCAACTACACCATCTCCTAGTTAGTCCCGAAGATACCTGGAGGAGACAGGAGTGGCAACGCCATGATAACTTTCTCTTGATCTTTGGCCCTGCTAGTGCAATAATGGCTGCGGGCGCAAGAGGCAGGGGCAGCGGGGCTGCTGCGGGCGGGGGTGTGAGGGGCGGCGGTGACCGGCTACCCGCCCGTGCTGTGGGAGCCACGGGGCCTGCTCTACACAGGGTTGCGCAGGGTGAGCGGTGGTGCTGGCGGGGCAGCTGCAGGCGGGGTGTGTCGATGGCGGGCTACCCCCTGGGGCCGGAGCCGTTGCAGTGGGTGCTTTGGGAGCCACGGGGCCCGCTCTACACGGCGGGGCAGCAGTGCTGGCGGGGCGGCTGCGAGCGGGGGCGTGGCATGTAAGCATAATTACAATATAAAATGTTATTGTTACAAATGTTTTTTATTATGCATTTATCATATTATAGTGTATTCTGTATTATTGTTGCAATGAATAAAATGTTTCTTTTATTTACAATATTTTTTTCTTCAATTTATTTGTGTCCTCCTTTTCATTGTAAAAAAGTTGGTCACCTTACTTTTGTTCTCATTTTTATTAGTCTATAATTGCAGTGCGGCAACATCTATACCCCGTTTGAAGACCCCTGATCTATACTAAGTAACAATGACATTAAAATGGCAATATATCCATAATTATTGCATAAATGGTATGACATCACAAAGTCTAATATAAGTATCATGAGGTATCATTTGTGTCATGCCATTATGTGTCATTATTTGCCCTCTCCATCACTGACTCCTCAGAGGCCTACACTATGGGAGCCTTTCAAACTGATGAGGACAAGCTACATAATTAACCAACAAGTATATAATAGGACAAGAGTCACACTCTGGGTGAAGATGGCTTCTAGAGAGCTTGTTGTATCCTGTTCATGATATTATAGGTCACAGACTGCCTCTGTACGTTTATTTAAAATTTGTGTGATTCTTGTGGGCTTCTTCCTCTAATAACTAACTGTAGTTCTGTCCAAAGATCTTAACTCAGTGACAAAGCACATGCTCTGTGGGCAGAAGGCTCAATTGCTGAACATCTCTTTTTTCTAAAGATCTTAGTGATGGATGGTTTCTCATTCAAGATAACCCTTAATAATAGATTCCAGCCAGAGTGCAGAGTATATTAAGCTGATTATTCCAAAATGTTACTACACTCCAAATTCTACAACTACAGTGAAGAAACTCATGAGTCAAATTGGGCTTACATGCTTGTAGGTCAATACTAATTATTTGCTGTTTTTTCTGCTTTTCATACCCAAATGATATATTGGCATACACATCTAATGATTAATCATTCAGCTACACTTTGCTACCAACTAATTCCTCTCTCATTTCTCCTGCAGAACCCATTTAATATAAATACTGTAGGCTATGATTTTATAAATTTAAAATATCCAATTAAAGCTAATGAATGTTACAGTTATGAAGCCAATATCTTGATGGCTTTGAAGACACAGAACCTGGAAAATGCTAACAGCTTGGCTACATTAAATAAAATCCATTTAATGCTAAGTGTTCCCAGACACGCAAATAGCCTTTCAAATTAATCTACAAAAAGTGACAAAAAACCTGCTAACTGAGCACTAGGTATTATTAAGATAAATGTTTAGGGCTTGAAGGACGTTCTTTTACATTTCATCTTTACCTTAAAGAAAGCAATTTTGTGAGCCTTTATTTTCAAGCTGCAGACTATATCACTCAGGCTGCGGTAGTGAAAGATCAGTTTACTTAACACACTATTTTTTTAAAAAAAATGCAATATGGACATAGCTGACACTTACTGGGATTCAACATTTTCCTCCTTGCTTAAATCCGAAGGAAAATCTGCATCTAAAATGTTTTTTGTTTAGATTCCACTGGCCCTGATGTGATCCACCCCCAAAGCAAACACCATCAATAGAAGAATTATTTCTTCAGGACTTAAACAGGGGGGGGGGGGAATTAGAATCCTCCTCTATGCTTACTCAAGTCTCAGTAATCATCTACAGCTGCGATTAATTGCAGTTAGGTTTCACATCTGGTTGTGAAAATGGGCCAAACAGATCCTGTTAATCTGGAATTTCCTATTTTGCTACTCTTATCCAAGCTTACTAAACCCAGTGGTTCCAATGTAATAAAATTCTCTTAAAAAAATAACTTGAGGACATGCAATTGAATAAATACATGTTGCTATGCTATTGGCTTTCCCCAGCTCTACTTTACTGAATTTCATTTACTCGCTTTTTCTTTTACTTACTTTCTCAAATTTTAGCTTATAAGCTTTTCATGGGACATGGTAAAGCTCCATGAATACAGAAGGTGCTATATAAATAATTATTCAAAAGACCTTGTTCACATATCTGTGACAGAAGCACTCATGATGCTAGCAAAGTTTGGTATATCCAAAAATAGATCCAATTCTTCTCTGCAGAAGATCAAAAGAGGCAATCTGTGGCCTTGATGCTGAAATGAGAAAGAATTTCATGGGGGGGGGGAATAATTTGCCCTTTTCGGTTTTCCTTCTATATAAGGCAGTGATGGCGAACCTTTTAGACACCGAGTGCCCCAAAACCACCCCACCCACTCCACCACCCCCTGCCTGCCCGCAGGGCCACCTACCACCTCAACGGCCCACCACAGCAGATTGCAGCACCAGGGCAGCCACACCCTCCACCCGCGCCCTGCAGCATCATCTGCGTGCAACGGGCCGCGACGGTGGAGTCTTGTCCCCACTGCCTGGATGACATGTCCTTGGCTGCGCTGCTCTGCGCGGGCCGCACCCAGGGGAGACTCTCCTTCAGGGGGGCTGCTGGTGAAGAGGGGGCCACAGAGGGAGGTGGGGCTGGGGCAACGGTGCGCGTGCCCACAGAGAGGTCTCTGGATGCCGCCTCTGGCACGCGTGCCATAGGTTCGCCACCACTGATATAAGGTATGCATCTGATGAGGTTTCTCAATGTTATTTCATATTCCATTTGCATTTCCCCTGTCTTTTATCTCCTCCTGGGAAGACATGATGGCTTCACAGGGCAAATGTCTCTTGGCGTCATTTTCATGAATGGTATCTACTGTTTATAGGCAAAGAATGGGCCCATCACTATTTTCTCATGACAACAGCTTGCTTTTACAAAATATTGCAGCCAATTGGCCAAACACTGTGTTATCAAAACTCAACCATGACAAGGATGAACAACATGCAAACTTGGACTTCTTCAGATTTGATTTGTAGATAATTTGGCTTCCTATATAGGGAAGGAGCTGGTAGCAACAGGATGCCCCCACTATACCAAGTTTTCTGTATCGGGAAAACTGGCAAAGAAGGAGAAATGTGCAAATCAAGCTGGCACAGGGCTTGTATATTTCCATCTGTCTTAAAGACATGCTGCCTGTTCTACAGACAAAATGCTAACATTTCTAATTATCTTTCCTAATGAGAGTGACATTGCCATAAATGTGAAGGGTAAGGCTAACTGTGAATGGTTATAATACAAAATGAAGACTGTCCAGAAGTCCCAAAATTTTAGAGATTGATTCCTGTAGGGAAGTGATCCTTTTTGTTAGCATTCTGGACCAGTGGGAAGCAGTTTTCGCGGGTGTTTGTATGTAGGTCTTTGGTCATTCAGGTTTTCTCCCGCGTAAAATTGGAAGTATCCTGGCGACGTTTCGACGAAGTCACATTCGTCATCTTCAGGCTGGTGTCTTCAGCTTCCTGCTTCTGGGATCACACACACTACTCCCAGAAGCAGGAAGCTGAAGACACCAGCCTGAAGATGACGAATGTGACTTCGTCGAAACGTCGCCAGGANATATATATATATATATATATATATATATATATATATATATATATATATATATATATATATATATATATGTTTCTTTCCCATCTGTTTCCAAAGATACATAACATTTTATTATTGTGCATAAATCTTCAATAATAAAGTTAAATCAACCAACATGTTTTGGGGTGCTTTTCTTTTCTTTCTTTTTAACTGATGATTGTTAAAATTGAAGTTGCTTTATTTTATGTTAATCTAAAAACAAATATTACAAACAAAAGAAAATAATACAATATGATCACATAAAGAGATTTTATACCATCAAAACTGGAGAAACAGGAAAGGATGTCATGACTAAGAAACCCCACACTTGGAAGACCTTTGTCTAATCCAGGGGTGTCAAACTCGCAACATCACGTGATGTGTCGTGACGTATTGTGACTTTTTCCCCATTGCCGGCAATGGGGTGGGCGCGGTTTCGGCGTGATGCATCTGGCCCACGGGACGGCAGTTTGACACCCCTGGTCTAATCTGACAGCCATTTTCAAACCACTTTTACTGAAATCCTAGCACTTTCACTGGGAAAAGAAGAAATAGCAATTAAGAAGCACAGCTTATTTGCTAAACACATACATAGTAGACACCCCACAATGCAAAGCTTAACAAAAATTTCTTTAATCTCTCCCATATGCCAAAATAGCATACTGACCATCTTTGT